TGACCACGCTGTCCAATTGTTTGGTTTGCTTCCATGGTGTTTCATGATACCTTCCCCATAAACAGGTTTCCCACAGCCACTTTTGCAGCTGCTTTGCGCCGCTTCGTCACCACAGTCAAGGGAAACAACCTTTGTTCAAACACCTACAATTTTCGCGGACTTTTCGCCATGCCGTTCCACCGCCATCCTTCCCATCGTGGGAACTGATTTAACTGAATACAAGTGTCAGAGTGTGGCTGCTAAAGCTGCCCACTTCGACGAAGCGCTGCAACTTCAGCTCGTGTAACCCTGACCAGCTTGTGAAAGGCCCTTGCGTTCAGCTCAACGGGACAAGTGTCACGCTTTTACCACCAAACGGATCCCTTTGGGTCACCAGGGAGATGGCGATGGCGGGGCTGGCTCAGCAGAGCGTGGAAGCTCTGAAGGCGTTAGGACGCCCAGGACTGAGCGTCAGACGCGGCTTCCGCGAGTTGAGGAACTCAAAGGAACCCAAACACAGCCGCGAAACTCGATGAACTGCTACTAGTAGATGAACTGGACGCTATGCTCGCTGGAGGCCATCGCGCTTGTAGGTTGGAGGCCAGAAGCTAGGAACGGAACAAGGAGCTGCAAGGAACAAGAAGCTACGAACGGAACAAATGGATTCCGTGATGTGGTCTTGGAACACGTCATTTTCCAACAGAAAAGGAATTCCCGCAACTTGCGGACTTGTGCAACAGATCTCGCACCCCAATATCCCTTACCTATGAGAAAAGCACGAGTGAAAATAGCAAAACATGAACTAGCATACCAAGACCAAGGGGTTAAAACCGCAAGAGTCAAGAGGTACATCATCGTTACTTTGATGTCGAGGGGAATTGTCTCCTCAAAACCCAGGTTGGAACGTGATAATTATCTGATAAATAGAAACAAGTTGGAAATGGTCGGGGGAACTGCTAAGTCGGTTGAAGAGGGAAAACTTGAGGAACTCTTGGGATCCAAACAACGAGTACCAAACTCGTGGTGAGCTGGGTGGGAATTTCACCGAAAGGCGGTGTTCAGGAAACGATTCCTAAGTCTATGGAAGATCCTTGGGGCTCCGGCTTGCAGCTCCAGCCATTTCTGGTCTGATTGACCTGGTCACATGGGAAGCGAAGGATTCTGTGCTTCATTCTGCATGTCTGAGTCCGCTGCCGGCAGCGAAGCCTTTTGTTGTCACAGTAGCTACCACAATTTGAAAGGCACCACTTTTTCGAATCCTTCAGGGCAAAGCTTGGCCAACAAAGCATTGCGAAAACGAAAACATCAAGCGCTGGAAGACCCCACCTTGCACTCCACCCCAGTCACCACCTCAGTGAAGGAACGAAGGAATAGAGGAGCGAAATGACACGAAGTAAAAGTCAGCTTCAGCTTGTGGTGTTGAATCGTTTGAGTCATACTTTGTTCATCTACAGTCTATTATGTAATTACTGCCACTAGCACCTGGTTCCTGTGGCAAACCATACTCTTTGACGTTCCTGAAAGAAAACCATGTTGTGACCCACATCGTCACACACGTCGACCGCTCAACCACTCCCTCCGCGCTGGAGGGACCGCGGAGGACCACGGATGGACCACTTGAGTACCGGACTTTGCCATCCGGGCAGTCCTTGCGGCCCTCCTCCTCACTGAACCAGCCCGTCACCACAGGTGTCTCTGACATGTCCAGTGTCCTGAGCCGAATCCCTTCAGACGCCGATCCTGTCGACAGCGTTCGACGAATCCCATTCCCTACTGTGAACAGACGAGCCTGCTGAGGTAGCCGAGAGCAGCTGCTCAAAGTCTCATACGCATACCGTATATATAATTCTCTATTGATCTATTAATATTGATCTTGGAGAGCTTCCGGCTTCTAGCAAAACATACCTTGCCATGAAGTCATGATGGACCAAGGCTATGACCACTGCAGCGGCTTGGCGCAATGAAAACGTAAGTTATCGCAATGCCTGGGCCATTCGGTCACAGCCTTCGATTCCGTGATGAGACCAGCCATGATTGAGGTAAACCAGCCACACAGCAACAAGGGGACTAAAACCTGTTGCCGACTCTTGCCATATACACTGTGCACTGAAAACAGGGATGACCAATACGCCAAAGTAAACGGGGGCATCTCAACGGCGCAGAATGGATTGATTATTTTCTGAAGATCTGTGCCATGGTCACTAAGGGCCTCTATTGGGGTTGGATGCAAATCATTTGGGATCTACTGCATCTACCTCTGTACCTTTATCTATCACACTTGCGCAACAAATTCACCATTCGATCAAGCTCGGCCAGTTTGGCAACTGGTCCTCGTCCTCTGCAAAAATGGAACCGGCGAGCCCAAATGCACGCATGTACTCGAAAAGAGACGGCCAAACATTGCTTGACACTCTTGTGGGGGACACTCTCCTTGGACACGTTTTGGGGCACTCTTATGGGAGGACATTCTTGTGTGTGACACCCTTGTGGAACACTGTTGTGGAACACTTTTGTAGGACACTCTTGTAGGACACTCGACACTCTTGTACCTGCCAAAACTTGGTAAAATGAGCATTGCGGACGAGACTTCCTCAGAGTCACACGTCCAGTCTCCAAAAACAAACAAGTCTCATCAGAGCAAGCACACCAAGGAGCCCTGCCAACCAGGTTCGCAACCCCAGCCCCTTAAAGCCACATGCGCTGACACGCCAATCCCAACGGCACATGATGCCACCCTCATGATGCCCTGCGCCTGCCGCGAAGAAAACTACATCACACCGTCGGGTCTTCAGCAAAATTTGCACCACTGGTGAGGTGGGCGGTGGTTTTTTCAGGTTTCTTGTGCTGGGTTTTGGTGTCCACCCTCAGTAGTAAACTCACAGAATGTAAATCCAAAGGGCCAGGCCAAACCTGAAGATAAAAGTCCCCTAGACCCTTGCTTGCCCATACTGGGACGCCTGCCCCCCACCTCTATAATACGTGCCCAGCAGGATTTCTTCACTGTTGGTGAGTGTTGATACCTGATGGCTTTGGGTTGTGGTGGTGCCACAAAATAATGAGTGACCCTTCTGCTTATTCTGTGGGGGGCCCAATCTATACGAATTTATTTATGGAGGCTAAACATTAGGCTACCAGGGGGGCCAACCTCATAAACAATTATAGCGACTCACTGCAAGATGGCACATGTAAAAGTGTACATTTGTGCCATGTTCACGATCTGCAAGTGCGTCGAAGGGTATATGAAGGGCACAGTAACAAATAGATGGCACACAGGATGTAAACCATAAGAACACCAGTGAGCAGAGGAACATAAAGATGGCACATGGGAGGAGGAGATTACAGGAAATTCATGGGAGCAGTGGAACATAAAGATGGCACATGGAAGGCGGGGGGGAGGGCACAGGAAATTCATGGGAGCAGTGGACCACTCACAAAGATGGCACACCGGATACAAACTGTCATGATCTGCAGAGAACAATCATGAAAGACAATGCAAGCACATAAACCGTGCCGGTATATCAATGAAAGGTGCAGGGAAGGACAAGGCAGGAAGCAAAGCAGGAAGGACAGCCAAGGAAGAAAAAGAACATCAAACAGTGATCAGTACTATAGCCAAAGCATTGGAAAACAATGGCCGTTTCAGGAGACCTCGCGGGGGTGGGACGGGGGCACACTAAGATGGCACATGGGGGGAGGTTGGACAGGCGGCCTGAAATATACTATATATAAGGGGAGCAGTGGACCACTCAAATGGCACATGCCAGGTGATGAGAGGGGAGACTGTCAAGGGGAACGGAAAACATCAGTCAAAATGAAGACGGTCTCTGGGGTACCCTTTCCAGAGTCGGTTTTTCCATTGTTGGTGGTTTTTTTTAAATAAGGGATCTATTCAAAATTTTACTCAGAAGGTTTTGGGCTTTGGTAATGCCAAGTGATGAAAGGAAAGGGACAAGATTCATGAAGGCAAGGAATCAAAAAAAGAGGACAGAGCCAGGCAAGGAAAAGACATAGAACATATACATATTTAAAGGAAGAAAGAGGGGGGACAGGGTATAGTATTAAGGGGGAGCAGAGGACCACAAAGAAGGCACAACGGACACATCATGATCTGCAGGGACCAATCATGAAAGACAAGGGTGATGATGATGATGATGATGATGATGATGCTAAGATGGCACACGGGGTTTGGTAGGAAAGATCATTTCATGTACCCAGGCACATCAAGATGGCACATGGGGGGGCTTGGTAGGAAAGACTATTGCAGGTATTCAGGCACTGTAAGATGGCACATCGGGCTCAGGCATCAGTGGATGAGAAATCATGGCAATCAACCATGTGTTGACAGAAAACCTGCATATTTTGCGGGTTTATATTTTTTGTGGTTTAGGATATGTTTTGGATCAATATGCGATCTACTTTCGCCTGTTTCCATGTGCCATCTTGCAGTGCGGGAGTATATCTAACGTATCTCATGTGCCACCCTTGGTTCATACTAAAGTAGGAGTCCGCACTTGCATTGCCAAGACCTGGAACCCAATCAAGTTCCTAGTGTCTTATAGAGTCATAGAGAATATTCCCTCAAGCTTGCTGATTTTATGAAGCCAGGTAGGAAGGGGTCCTCCACACTTCCACATGTTACTGTTCTACGCTATTTCACGCGAATCTGACACTTCAGGCTTCCATCCAACACCTCCAAGAACCTTTGCCCAACGGCCCTTATTGATCGCACTCTGACGTTTGACAAAAGCAGCGTCAAGAGAACAACGCTCTAGCCTCAGACTCCCAAAGTTGAATGAGAACCCTTTGCTATGCAATCGGGAAAAACTTGACCCCGGTACAGCAATGAGCTACCCAAGTGTATCATGCATCCACTGCAACATGAAAACCATTCAAAACCAACAGCGATCCCAACTCCCTGATGGAGATGAGTGACTTTCCATCACACTCCACGTAGCTGACAGCCATTCCATCAGGACAGTCAGCCACCTGGCGACGTTTTGTGCTTAGTGCTTAACAATCTGAGGCTTCCGGTCCTACAGTCCTGACTCTTCACCGCATTCTGAGGTTGTTGAGTCGAAGCGATTCGGGGAAGCTTTGAGCCTGTGGAGATGTTCTATCCTTTGCACGTGCTTCAGGGCAAAGGATGTTGTTGAACAACGGTGGGACTCCCCACCTCTCCCAAATAGCTTGGAGACGCATTCAAATCATCCCCAACCAAGAACATGGCCTCATAAACGAATATTAGTGACTGCCCAATGCCACATCATGTCATGTATGTCGAACTCAGAACTGGCAACCTCTTCATCACTACAGGTCCCGGTGCCCCCCATAGGATTCTGGTGCCCACCTAGGCATGTAGGGTACGTAGGTCTCCTGGCCTGGTCATCTGCTGCAGATCCAGAGTTCCAAAACCAGCGGTGGCCGGTGTTGTCAGATATCCAGCCAGATTTCCTTGTAACCAAAATGTTTCGTCACTGCTTGCACAGTAGAAGGCGGAACACCAAATGACGAAATGACAAGAATTGTAGTTACATGACGCTACATTATGTGATGAAAATACGCATCTAAAAAAGAAAACAACAGTATATAAGCGCTGCGTGCTTCAAAGACTCTCTGCCGTAGCTGCATCGACATAAACACTCATCTGAATCAGCCGCACGTTCCCACAGAAATCACCAGCACACGCCATTCCTGTCGAAACCTTGATTTCAATTCATCTGCAAAAACTGTCAGAGCTGGAACAAGCAGTCTTTAATTATTATATATACATGTAATAATATAATATATAGTTTTAAGCTTACAGTATAAGTCATGACTCATAAGACAATGCACCAATTCCTCAACCTCAGACGCTGGCCAAGTGGGTGGGGGTCATTTTCTTGCCTTTGTTGACCCAATCCTGAGTTGTCAAGAGCTGTGTCAGCTCGAATGCTGTGAAAAACCCTTGCTTCTCTCCAGGTGCGTCAAAAAGACATGGGGCTACACCGAGTGGCAGCCGAAACAAAGTACACGCAACGGCCCACATCTCCCCGGCACATGGGCGACAAGGAATCATCCTGTCGGGAGCCGATATGCCTTTCCATGGCATGGGCGCCTGACCGGTCATATTAAAGGAGTATCAGTGGCCATCATATTCTATGCTATTGTAATTAATGATCATCAGTATCATGATCAAACAGTATCAGTATCAATGATAGCCGCTTGGTCATCTTGATGGTCTGATTATGTTTGATTGCGTCAGGAGTTGGGCATTCCTTCCATACTTGTAGCGGATCTGGTCTAATCTGATCATGGTGTCGTTTTCTTGTTGCCCAAGCTAACGGACTAACCCGGTTCTAATCCGCGGTGAGCGCCGGTCTCGCCTCTGAAGAACAAGTGCCACAGGAGCCACCGCAGCCGTCATCCCCACATTCCAAGCCCAGAATGTCGCAGCTTGGAATGCATTCCTTGCTGTCATCCTTGGTGTAAGTCGCCTGCAGCTGCCCACAAGTGCTGGGCTCACAGGATACACCGGAAAACCAGTTACTGTAATGCCGGACAAACCGTATCAAAAAGGGGCCAAGAAAAAAAGGAACTCAGCCGAACCCAGTGGCACAAACCAGCTTCTTGCTCACGCAATGTGCACCCCCACAGTATATGCCTTAGCGACAACGCGCTTCATCTTCATCCTTCTTCTTGGGCCCAAACTCTGGGGTGCCCACCAACGATGACGTCTTCGCCATGACAGTAGCTGTCCTGCGCAACCACAAAAACGGAATGATGGGGTTGGGAAGCTGAAAAAATAGCCAAGAAGTTGGATGGCATAGCGTTTCTTACTCTGACGTTGAGACGTTGACATTCGCATACATTTATTAGCCCCCTCCAAAGTGGCGGCAATGTGATTGTGGCACCTCCTCATACACATCATTCCTTCTATTGTACGACTCATCTCTCCCCTGTTTGGAGATGATTCTTAGAAAACAACCGTGCCACACCCACGGTCCCAGTGCAGCATCACGCCTCCGTGCTGTGCAGCTCGCTGGGAAACCAGGTCCGCTCGGCGGTGTCTGCACTCACGCGGCCTGGTGGAACTAGTGCACTTGCCAAGGCATTTTCGACTCTGAGAGGAGTCGAAACAGGTGTGGATGTTGAAACAGGAAAACTCCTGGACCGCTCCAAGATTCATTCTAGGTGCTGGAAGAACATTCACGAATGGTAGACATCTGTAGGCCTATTTCAATTGACTCAGAAGTTGCCTCAATGGACAAAATATGGCCTATGCATGCCTATGCCTATGGCTAACTTGATCTAAGGTCCATGATCCTTTGCCAAACGAGTGCTTGGCAGCTCCCACCGGCAGCTCCTCCAGTTGGAGTGGCGCAATGCAAACGAATGGTGTCGCAAGAGTCGCCGAGGCAAGTGACCTGACCACGGGGACTTGGCGGACCTGACAATGGCCTTTCAAAGGGGGTGACATGTGTTGGACAGAAGCCATCCCATCTTCACCCATGTCTCTTGAAGAACGAAGTCCGTGAGTCTTTAGTAACGCAAAGACGGAGGCATCGGACTGTATCCAGAAAAGGGTGAAACATGCTAAACCGATTGCTTCTCTGCCACAAGCATGGCCACAGTCTTGTGGTCAAAGGCATCGTCTGCCGAATTACATCATCAAGCAATAACATCACAGGTCGCAAAAAGAGCGGATGTTCTTTGCAAATCGCTATGGAAACCCACCTGTTTCTTCAAGCCACGTCCATTTCTTGGGTCACGGAGCCCAGGGACCGCCGTGCCCGCTCGGAACGCCGCTCGTCGCGAGCCCGGTCATCTCCACGTCGCGGAGCTCGTGGGGGCGGTCGGAGCGGAGGAAGGCACCGCCGTACTTCCAGCCGAGAAGGGATCCACAAAGGAGCAAGGTGGCAAAGCAAGCGACAATTAAGTAAATCTGCCAGGACTCCATTGATTCTTGCTTGTCAATGTGACAAATGGTGTCCACCAACTCGAGCATCTGTGAACCAAACTTCTCAGCGGAGGAGGAGCGCCTGTCCTGCATGAAATCGATGATGGATAATGTGGTCGTCTTCTCCTCCCTCACATTACACAAGGGAACTCCTGGCAAGCCGGAGCAGCCCACAGGATTCTGTCCACCAGAGGCAATCTCAGCGTACAAACTGTAATCTCCCATGCCATGACTTTGAAGCCAAGCAATGTCCGGGGCAATCTTCTTCCGCAAGGATTTGCACTGCCAATTCTTCATCGGCAGCTGGTTCGCTTCTCGCTCGGCAAAGTCACCATTCTTCCCAATCAGGGGATTCTTTGACTTTTTGCTCTGACTCCTGGACTTGCCCTTGAGGTCATAACGTGCCACGTTGCTGGATGCGGTCTTGAGTCCAAGGCCATAGCCTTCATTGCTCATGACCAAGCAATATGCTTTCACCCCCAAGATCTTGATGTACACCAGGCCGTAGATGCGCTGTACTAGGGAGTAGGAATTTCCTTCCAGGTGGTCTCTCAAGCTGATGGCACCTTCCTTCCCAGTAATCAAGGTCTTCAAGTTCTTGAGTTCATTGAAATCGACGTGAATCATGTATTTCTGGTCATGGGTGGTCAGAATACCCTTCAGCTTGTCCTCATCAAAGAGTCCCAAAGGCGATGGCCTCAGGTGTCCACCTTGAAAGGAGCTTCGGAGCTCTGAAGACAAATCCGTTGGGCCTGCCCTGCCAGGACTGGCCTTGTTGAGACGAAGCTGCGCAAAGTCGCTCTCACCGTAGACCCAGGCCTTGCAGGTCTCCTTGGGGAAGAACTGCTCAAAGAGCGAACAAAAGGTCATCTCAGGCTCCCGCTCCCCCCCAGTTATCCCCCAAGGCACGAATCGGTGCCCTGGTCAAAGAGGTCATTGAACTGTTCATGATGAGGGCAGAGAACTTGGTCTTTGACTGAGAGCTCCCCAAACTACTGGTCACTGCCTCTCGCAAAAGTGCCGACAGGCAGGAAAAGTCTGAGATCTTCTCATCATCCCATGTCTCCGGTAGCTGCGGGGCCTTGTCAACCTTCCACCTTTCCACTCGATCCTGAAGACATCGCATGATGTCTGAGTTGGTGCTATCCAAGGATGCTCCATAGTTCTTGTCGAGAATTTCCATCCACGGAGGGGTCTGTCCACAGCCATTGCCTGCATCTACAGGTTTATACTCCCCATCATTCATGCATGAGGCCGAACGTCCCCAAGACCGCTTGTGCCCGCAGCTTTGGCTAAAAGGGCACCATTGGCAGTTTCCGGCAGAGGTAATGCAGGTCTTGCATACGTCTGTGCTGTGCTTCTCGTTGAAGGGAGGCCGCATAAAGAAGGGCCCGCTGCCACAGCCACTCTTGTCCGCCAGGCAGTCTTTGAGTAGCCAAGCCACCACGGCGAGGACCAACATCTGCGCCATCTGATCTCGCCACGATGGCTGTGGGCCCAGTTGCCACTAGGAATTGCCTGAAAATACGCAGTGCAGTGTCATCAGTCCATACTTTGTAATAACAGAATCTAGCTGGACATGGTTTGATCGGCTGTTTCGGCAATTTCATGCCGAACCAACAAGTGAGAGTGATGCATTACCTGTGGTCTTTACCTGAGGATTCCTCTTCCTAAATGACCGTTTTTTTTGAGTCAGGTTCGGCCACCTCTCGGAGCCAGCATGGCGACCAGCACGTGGCAAATGCATAGAGAGTCTTCATCAAGCTTTCTCGACGAAACCACCAAAGAGAGAGAGAGAGGGAGGGAGGGAGGGAGGGAGGGAGGGAGGGAGCGAGGGAGAGAGCGCAAGCAGGACAGTGAAGGAATTCATTCTTCGCCTACAGAAGTAGTGTGTAGATGTGTGTAGTACGTATATTGTATAGTTGCCCCTGCCTTTTTGATAGCAGAGAGATCCACCAGGCAGTGGACAAGCTTCACCCCAAACCCCTGGATGCCTGGGTAGCAACCTGCCCTGACTGGCAAATCAAATCGCCGATGTCCGCATCCACTTGGTGGATCGTCACCTCAAGTGCTCCAAATACTCCCTCATGCTCCCTCTGTCTCCCTCCCCTCGCGCTCTCTCTCTCTCTCTCTATCTCTCTCTGCCCATGAATGCTCATGATAAAGCAGCATGTGATGCACCTGCTGGCATTGACACAAAACTGCTGACATTACTTTACAGGGATTGGTGTCGAATTCAGCCAGCAAAGTCCTGGGCATCTGGCGCTTTGGCTGCTGAGCTGAATGTCAGCACGGTGGCTCAATCTGTGAAATGGGAGACAAAACGGATGCTTGTTAGGTCGGTGTCAAGAACTCCTTTCATTCATATCGCGATTCATATCTCTGTTTTTGTGGGGGGAGGTTGAGGAATCCTATGTACTGTGTTATATAAGGTCCCTCTTGGCATCAAGGACAGGCTCTGGCAAGAGGCCTCCCTAATCCTCCTTACCAAGGCGAAAGCTTTTCGAATCCATGCCAACTATTCTGCTAGGCCGCTAGACTTTGTCTTCTTTGTTTCGCGCATCACACATGAACGTCAGAGTTCCGCTTTGAGTCCTGCCTCATGCTTCCACAAAATTCTTCAGCACAGCCAACACCTACCAAAGCCGTCCCTGGTGAGACAGCTTTGGAGGTCGTCTCATCATTGAAATAGCTGGACCTGCAATGGGCCCTCAAGGGCAATAGGGAAAAAAAACGCCACCCCATCGCAGCACACCCCAAACAGTGATCTAAAATTACTAGCAGGTTGGTGGTTTCAACTCACTTAACAAATATGAGTCAGTGGGTTCAATCATCCCCAGTCAAAGTTGAATCTAAGAAGATCTGCCATCACCACCCAGTTAGGTTCACATGTCGGCAAAACCATGCATCACCCGGATTCTCCAACGTCGTCGTTGTGGCTGTCGTCGCCGTCGTGGAGGTGCCTGTCTCCGGGTCCAAGGCCAAGACGCACAACTCCGTTTAATCCGTTTTTGGCCCAACCTACTAGCGATGGCCTCCAACCTAAGAGCGATGGCATCCCACCTCCAACCTAAGTGCCATGGCCTCCAACCCAAGATCGATGGCCTCCAACCTACTTGCAATGGCCTTCAACCTAAGCGCAATGGCCTCCAACCTATTAGCGATGGCCTCCAACCTGAAAGCAATGCTCTCCAACCTAAGAGCCATGTCCAACCTAATTTTTGCAATGGCCTCCAACCTAAGAGCCATGGCCTCCAACCTACTAGCTATGGCCTCCAACCCAAGAGCGATGGCCTTGAACCTAACAGCAATGGCCTCCAACCTAAGAGCCATGGCCTCCAACCTAGTAGCCATGGCCCTCCAACCTAAGAACGATGACCTCCAACCTAATAGCAATTGCCTCCAACCTAAGAGGGATGGCCTAGCAATGGCGTCCAATCTAAGAGCGATGGCCTCCGACGCAAGAGCAATGACCTCCAACTTACTAGTGATGGCCTCCAACCAAAGAGCGATGGCCTCCCCCTATAATGGCCGGAGTTTGAACCATTGAAGGCATTTAGGACCTAAGCCACCTAACCGTCAGGACCTAAAAACCCGCGTGCGGCCTGACAAGCTGGTCGATTGTGTGTCAGGATCGCTTGTACCTGATGTCCCTGTCGTTCTTGTAGTCGTTGTAGTTGTAGTAGTTGTTGTTGTGGTCGTTGTCGTTGTGGCGCTCGTGATCGTTGCCGTCGTCTCGGCCGCATCGCTGCATGGCGTCAAGTCAGCTGTTGCAGTTGAAGCACCTGGCAGATTGTGCTCCCCAACCTTTCTCGCACGAGTGATGGGTCTCCCACATTGTAGAACACTTTTTTGAAGAGAATGGACTAATTAGACCACTGCTTCCATCAATACGGTGTATGGCCAGAAACAGGCCCGCAGCTTGATTTTGCAGCTGCATCAGCTGCATCAAATGATAAATGTTGCATGAGATGATCTATGTCTATGTATTTTCCTATCTTATCATCTATGGCACGCCAGGCTGCGGCGGGTTCCCGCATTGAGCTCCGCAAGCAAAACCAAAAATACACATATTGCATGGCATTTTGTAGTGTGTATAGATATATATAAACATAAATATATAAATACATAATATAGGTCGTATGATACTGTATGTATAGGTGCACACAGTGCAAAGTCGTCACGTTACATAAATCAAATACACCGGCAGTATCGCCAATCTTTCTGATTCTTGCCAGGCCACCTTCGGTACTCAGTCTCTTGCACAGCCTTGGACTATGCACCAAGGGGTGCCAAATGCAATGCTGCATTGCATCAAATCCATCAAACCCATGCTGCTACTTTCTTAGTAACTCTGTTGTTTATGCTGACCCATGGAGTGTCACTAGAGGATGGCTCACCCAGAACTTCAAAAAAAAAGTGAAGAATATGCGATCACACACAGAGTGAAATCATGTGAAATCTTCACCAACCTGCTTCTCTTCTCCAAGTTGCAGAATTTCAACTGTATCGCTTGACTGACCCCGGGTGCCCTTGACCTCGGTTTGTTCGAGACACAAACGCATCTGTCAACTTGCTCCAAACAGCGAATTTCACAAGTGGTATAGTTCCAAATCATATGAACTAGTTTGGATACGTTTGAACAAATCAACCCAACCTTAACCTCCAAATAAGCACAATTCTTAGGCTCAAACGGTCAGTTTCAGGTCCGTCACGATCCTCTCTCCGGACCTCCAATGTCCGCATCACGGTGTCGCGTCCCGTCGAATGCTCGTGTCATGCGCAACGCGCCTGTCGGTGTCTTGGATCACCACGCTGGAGCCCTGCAGGGTTACACAAAATGTCTTCCATCATACATTAAGTTCTGGAAGATAATCGCCATGAAAAGAGCCCTTTAGCCGTGTTTGTAGAGATTCTCAACTTCCATGATTGTTTAATAAAATGAAGTGTAGTTTCTGTGGGGGTATAGGACACCGAATGACACCAGGACATACCACACCATTGAACATTGTATATATATATATCATGATATAAACCATCCGCTAGCTCCATGCTGCTCTATGATGCTGTCGAGGATGTTGCCCAGCTGCTTCTCCGACGGTGCGGGGCAATCGACCGTTGTACTTGTGCCTTGTCTACACTGTGAAGCAAGTGGGTGATGCTGGCGTCAGTCCTCAAGCGCAAGGCTCAAGAATTCAGGCAGGCACCTTGGAACTTCAGGATTCCAAGAAACACATGACGTTCACGGGAGAACCCCTTTAGAATTTCATACTGTCCCTATGTCCAAGGTCCTGTTTCAAGTTGGACTTGCAGCTGGAGTCCCACAGTCCCACACGGTCCTGCTGTCACCATCCCAGTGATGCACTTGCACTTTGTTGGCATAGGAGGTTCCTGCTTCAGCCAGTCACAGCTTTGTTGTCACACATAGCGACAGGGTCTGCCCTCCACAAAGCGGTGCCTGGAAACTCTTGCATGTTTGATGATGCTTGTCTGGTTGTTCCTCAACCCCCCCCATGCCTTGCAGGTACTGGTCGGTACCTCACATAGAAACTCAACATGTGAACACATCCTACAGTATACTGATCGGAAGAGAAATGAGATCTGTTGGTCGCCTGTAGTGGCCCGCCATGACAAAACCAGAAAAGCGGCCACGTTCAACCTGCGGAGAGACCATTGACAATGGATGATCTTGGAATCACCTGATGGCTCTTGACGGATAGATCAAATGGGCTAGCATGTATGACATATGATTGATTTCTTCTCCACAACCTAGGGCCCTGCCTCCGACCAGGGGCTGAGGAATCCACTTCAATTTTCACCTGCCCGGTGTGGCACATGGCTTCAAAGCCTAGCTACACTCTCCAGGCCTAATCAGAGCACCCCACATGACATGTCCAAACGCCCTGAGCACCTTCTTTTGATTCTTTTGGATCCCCAAGCATCTCACTCCGCTACGGCGAAGCAAACAGTGACACACTGTGACACTTGCTTCTTCGGGTTGGCTGAGACCCTGACACCGCTCAAAGCATTGGAACCTCACATTCCGACCCAGTTCTTAAGATTTCAGCCACCGCTGCAGCTTCCTCTGCTCACGAGTTCAGCAAACAAATAGCAATACAATGTTCTAAATATATATATATGATTATATATGTAGAATGTCGTATATTTATTCTTTTGTGCATATATAAAACAAATATCAGTGTATATATATATATATGATTATCAATGGCTGTTTAAACATGTTCAAGCCAAACCAATGCTTCCAAATCCGTGGGGTCACCTCTCAAAGCCGCACCGTGTCTTTTGAACACCGGAGGGTGCTCTAAGGGCAACGCCAAGGGCATTGAGCGTCAAGCGTGTGGAGGTCGACTGGGCCACATTGCTCAAGATTAGGGCATCCTGTCAGAAGAGCCACAAACAAGGTAGAAAAACATAGGGCGTAGAAGCGTGAGCGCTCTTGCTTCACGCCAT